CCTAATTGAGATGGTTTGGGATGAGTTTGACCGCAGAGTGAAGGAAAAGCAGCCAACAAATGCTCAGTATTTGTGGGAACTCCTTCAAGACTTTTGGAAAAGCATTCCTCATGAAGCTGGTTGAGAGAATGGCAAGAGTGTACAAAGCTGTCATCAAGGCAAAGGGTGGCTACTTTGAAGAATCTAAAATCTAAAATATATTTTGATTTGTTTAACACTTTTTTGGTTACTACATGATTCCATATGTGTTATTTCATAGTTTTGATGTCTTCACTTTTATTCTACAATGTAGAAAATAGTACAAGTAAAGAAAAACCCTTGAATGAGTAGGTGTGTCCAAACGTTTGACAGGTACTGTATATCAAATCAAATCAAAATGTATTTGTCACATGCGCCGAATACAACCTTACCGTGAAATGCTGACTTTCAAGCTTTTAACCAACAATGTAGTTGTAAGAAAAAAAAAGAGTTAAGAAAATGTTTACTAAACTAACAAAATTAAAGAGCAACAATAAAATAACAATAACGAGGCTATATACAGGGGGTACTGGTATAGAGTCAATGTGCGGGGGTACAGGTTTGTCGAGGTAATTGAGGTAATATGTACAGTGCCTTTGGAAAGTATTCAGACCCCTTGACTTTTTTCACATTTTGTTACGTTACAGCCTTATTCTAAAATTGATTATTTTTTAAATCCTTAGCAATCTACACACAATACCCCATAATGGCAAAGCGAAAACAGGTTTTTAGAAATGTTTGCTAATGTATTACAATTAAAAACAGAAATACCTTATTTACATAAGTACTCAGACCCTTTGCTGTGAGACTCGAAATTGAGCTCAGGTGCATCCTGTTTCCATTGATCATCCTTGAGATGTTTCTACAACTTGATTGGAGTCCACCTGTGGTAAATTCAATTGATTGGAGATGATTTGGAAAGGCACATACCTGTCTATATAAGGTCCCACAGTTGACAGTGCATGTCAGAGCAAAAACCAAGCTGTGAGGTCGAGGAATTGATCGTAGAGCTCTGAGACAGGATTGTGTTGAGGCACAGATGTGGGGAATGGTCCCAAAATATTTCTGCAGCATTAAAGGTCCCCAAGAACACAGTGGCCCCGATCATTCTTAAATGGAAGAAGTTTGAAACAACCAAGACTCTTCCTAGAGCTGGCCGCCCGGCCAAACTGAGCAATCGGGGGAGAAGGGCCTTAATCAGGGAGGTGACTAAGAACCCAAAAGGCACCTAAAGCAATGCAAATAGTCCGGGTAGCCATTTGATTAGCTGTTCAGCAGTCTTATGGCTTGGGGGTAGAAGCTGTTAAGAAGCATTTTGGACCTAGACTTGGTGCTCCGGTACCACTTGCCATGCAGTAGCAGAGAGAACAGTCTATGACTAGGGTGGCTGGAGTCTTTGACAATTTTTAGGGCCTTCCTCTGACACTGCCTGGTATAGAGGTCCTGGATGGCAGGAAGCTTGGTCCCAGTGATGTACTGGGCCGTACGCACTACCCTCTGTAGCACCTTGCGGTCAGAGGCCGAGCAGTTGCCATACCAGGCGGTGATGCAACCAGTCAGGATGCTCTCGATCGTGCAGCTGTAGAACATTTTGAGGATCTGAGGACCAGTGGTGGAAAAAGTAGCCAATTGTCATACTTGAGTAAAAGTAAAGATACCTTAATAGAAAATGACTCAAGTAAAAAGAAAGTCACCCAGTAAAATACTACTTGAGTAAAAGTCTAAAGGTATTTGGTTTTAAATATACTTAAGAATCAAAAGTACAAGTAATTGCTAAAATATCAAAAGAAAAAAGAAAAGTATTAATAATTTTCAATTCCTTATATTAAGCAAACCAGACGACACAATTTCAGTGTTTTTAAAAATGTATTTAAGGATAGGCAGGGGCACACTCCAACACTCAGACATAATTTACAAACGAAGCATTTGCATTTAGTCAGTCCGCCAGATCAGAGGCAATATGACCATGGATGTTGTCTTTAAGTGTGTGAAATTGACCATGTTCCTGTCCTGCTAAGCATTCAAAATGTAACGAGTACTTTTGGGTGTCAGGGAAAATGTATGGAGTAAAAAGTACATTATTTTCTTTAGGAATGTATAGAAGTAAAAGTAAAAGTTGTCAAAAATATAAATAGTAAAATAAAGTACAGATACACAAAAAAAAGACTTAAGTAGTACTTTAAAGCATTTTTACTTAAGTACTTTACACCACTGCTGATGACCCATGCCAAATCTTTTCAGTCTCCTGAGGGGGAATAGGCATTGTCGTGCCCTTTTCATGACTGTCTTGGTGTGTTTGGACCATGATAGTTTGTTGGTGATGTGGACACCAAGGAACTTGAATCTCTCAACCCGCTCCACTACAGCCCCGTCGATGAGAATGGGGGTGTGCTCGGCCCTCCTAGTCCATGATCATCTCCTTTGTCTTGATCACGTTGAGGGAGAGGTTGTTGTCCTGGCACCACACTGCCAGGTCTCTGACCTCCTCCCTAAAGGCTGTCTCATCGTTGTCTGTGATCAGGCCTACCACCGTTGTGTTGTCGGCAAACTTAATGATGGTGTTGGAGTCGTGCTTGGCCATGCAGTCATGGGTGAACAGGGAGTACAGGAGGGGACTAAGCACGCACCCCTGAGGGGCCCCCGTGTTGAGGATCAGCGTGGCTGATGTGTTGTTGCCTACCCTTACCACCTGGGGGCGTCAGGAAGTCCAGGATCCAGTTGCAGAGGGAGGTGTTTAGTCCCAGGGTCCTTAGCTTAGTGATAAGCTTTGAGGGTACTATGGTGTTGAACGCTGAGCTGTAGTCAATGAATAGCATTCTCACGTAGGTGTTCCTTTTGTCCAGGTGGGAAAGGGCAGTGTGGTGTTATCTGTGGATCTGTTGGGGCGGTATGCAAATTGGAGTGGGTCTAGTGTTTCTGGGATGATGGTGTTGATGTGAGCCATGACCAGCCTTTCAAAGCACTTCATGGCTACAGACGTGAGTGTTACAGGTTGGTAGTCATTTAAGCAGGTTACCTTGGTGTTCTTGGGCACAGGGACTATGGTGGTCTGCTTGAAACATGTTGGTATTACAGACTCGGTCAGGGGCAGGTTGAAAATGTCAGTGAAGACCCTTGCCAGTTGGTCAGCGCATGCTCAGAGTACACGTCCTGGTAATCCGTCTGGCCCTGTGGCCTTGTGAATGTTGACCTGTTTAAAGATCTTACTCACACCGGCTATGGAGAGCGTGATCACACAGTTGTCCGGAACAGCTGGTGCTCTCATGTATGCTTCAGTGTTGCTTGCCTCGAAGCGCGCAAAGAAGTAATTTAGCTCGTCTGGTAGGCTCGTGTCACTGGGCAGCTCGCGGCTGGGCTTCCCTTTGTATTCCGTAATAGTTTGCAAGCCCTGCCACATCCGACGCGGGCGGCAGGTAGCTTAGTGGTTAAGAGCGTAGTGCCAGTAACCGAATGGTCGCTGGTTCTAATCCCAGAGCCGACTATGTGAAAAATCTGCCGATGTGCCCTTGAGCAAGGCACTTAACCCTAATTGCTCCTGTAAGTCGCTCTGGATAAGAGCGTCTGCTAAATGACTAAAATGTAATGTAAATGTGTCGGAGCCGGTGTAGTAGGATTCAATCTTAGTCCTGTATTGACGCTTTGCCTGTTTGATGGTTCGTCGGAGGGCATATATATCTCACTAAATGACGAAAGGTATGTGGACACCTGCTCGTCGAACATCTCATTCCAATATCATGGGAAAATATATGGAGTTGGTCCTCCCTTTGCTGCTTTAACAGCCTCCACTCTTCTGGGAAGGCCTTCCACTAGATGTTGGAACATTGCTGCAGGGATTGCTTCCATTCAGCCACAAGAGCATTAGTGAGGTCCGGCACTAATGTTGGGCTATTAGGCCTGGCTCACAGTCGGCGTTCCAATTCATCTCAAAGGTGTTCGATGGGGTTGAGGTCAGGGCTCTGTGCAGGCCAGTCAAGTTCTTCCAGACTGATCTTGACAAAACATTTCTGAATGGACCTTGCTTTGTGCACGGGGGCATTGTAATGCTGAAACAGGAAAGGGCCTTCCCCAAACTGCTGCCACAAAGTTGGAAGCACAGAATCATCTAGAATGTCATTGAATGCTGTAGCGTTAAGATTTCCCTTCACTGAAACTAAGGGCCCTAGCCCGAACCATGAAAAACAGCCCTATAACATTATTTCTCCTCCACCAACTTCACAGTTGGCACTGTGCATTGGGGCAGGTAGCCTTCTCCTGGCATCTGCCAAATTTAGATTAATCTGTCACACTGCCAGATGGTGTAGTGTGACTCCAGAGAACGCGTTTCCACTGCTCCAGAGTCCAATGGCAGCGAGCTTTACACCACTCCAGCCGACGCTTGGCATTGCGCATGGTGATCTTAGGCTTGTGTGCGGCTGCTCGGCCATGGAAACCCATTTCATGAAGCTCCCAACAAAGCTTCCAGAGGCAGTTTGGAACTTGGTAGTGAGTGTTGCAACCGAGGACAGACAATATATATATATATATATATATATATATATATATATATATATATATATATATATATATATATATATATATGACTGACTCTAACATTGCTCCTTCTGATATTTTAAATTTTATTTTTTGAATTTTGGGGATTATGTGTGTATTGTTTTGTATTAATGCACTGTTGGAGCTAGAAACACAAGCATTTCACTGCACATGCGAAAACATCTGCAAATCTGTGTACAGGACCAATACACTTTGATTGGATTTTTAGTAGTCAGTGGAGTGCCTCTAGCAGCGAAACAGTTACATTATACTGAGCTAGCGAGCTTCTTTCGCTCCCATTGATCGCTCCTCCGCTAGCCCCGCCCCTACTCCCCTTCTAGCTTTAGTGTCATTTTTCTAGCTGGTGATCGCACATACACGACATAACTCAACCGCCTGGCAGCCCCACATTGCTCATCATTTCGAAAAGCCTGTCGGTTAGCTCCAAAAACATGGCGGCCCTTAAAGTATTGTCAAGAGCGGAGAATGTATTATTCAAAAACCTATCTGCCACCTGCAGACCCAATTTGAACTTCACACATTCCTTGAGCAAGGTCAGTATCGAAATGCGTCAACTAAATAGACCAAATGCGAAAATGCATGCAGCTAGATACATTGAGAAGCGTTACTTTTTTAATGGTTAGGTTAGTGTGAATGTGTCATATAGTGTGAATGTGTCATATGGCACCTTCCATTTTAACCCCTAAATTGTCATCTGGATTCAAGTGAAATCGAAATTCATTATTTGCATTTACTGTCGGCAAGTAGCAGCATATACTTGGTTACTGATCCGTTCTTTTATACCTCAACACTACCGAACCCTTTCATAAATGCTCGTGATGTCTGATCCATGATCCATGTTAGCTATTTCCCATCATGTTATCTTAGTAGCCTATATGGTGGCTAGCAGTAGGCACTACTCTGTCACCCGTAAAAACTAAAAGGACCTTGGTTGAGAAAGGGACTAATGATTTCAATTTAATGTGTCCGTTTGTTTGTTTTGCCAGAGCCATGTGTTATTTGTTTACAGTAGAAAAACCCGTGTAGCTGATTTGGTAGAGCATGGCGCTTGCAAAGTCCGGTGTTGTGGGTCCGTTTCCCACGGGGGGCCAGTATGAAAATAACTGTAAATCGCTCTGGATAAGAGCATCTGCTAAATGACAAAAATGTAAATGTAGATAGTTCCCATTGATGACCCATTGAAGACACTCACTCACCCCCCCACTCTTTGCCAAATAAGGTCCAACTATATTAGGATCGAATGGAGAACATATTTAGTGAATATATTTGAAAGTCATTGATGTAGACTACCGATAATAATTTATTTGTTGTATTTCTCCTTTAAACTGTGTAAAGAATGAACCCCATACCAACATAGCAACACGCATAAGCCTAAGAATGTTGTCATTGACATTGCGCTTCAGGTTGCAACCCAGTGCCCCCAGACCCTTTGCATGCCACGCGCGCTAAGGACAGACAGAAGTAGAGACATGTAAAAAGTGCAGAACAGTGTCTGTGAAGTATAGTCTACAGGTAGTATAATAGCAAATAAAGCATATTTTATGTATACAGTTCTCCAATAACGGTATTGTTTAATCTTGTCTATGTTTGCGTTTCAGTTTTAGAAGTAGTGAATTGGAGGGTATACACAATACACACCACAATGTTTAGGGAATTACAAAGTCTTTGACGCCACGCTAGTGTTGTTCAATACATTGTATTGTGCGTTGCTTTACCTGTAGAAGTTGGCCTCTCAGTGTGGGGTAATCCAGTTGTATTGTTATGTTTTGGCCTCATTTGGTCACATGTTATGCAGTTGCTGTTGTTTGACATTGCTGCCACACTACAGTTTGTAGCTAGACCTCAGATAAGGTGTTGTAGGTTATAACAGTAAACAGAGCTAATGGTCGTTAATCCTACTCAAAGGCTAGACAGCCTGAACACAAGATGCTGGTCCTAGGTTAACAGTCAAGCCTATTTTGTGAAATGTTTTTCTGGGAGCATTTTCCTCCCTCTTGATTGGCCATAATTGCTGATTCACTATTGCCAATTCATTTTTATATGAGCTGAGGTCAAAGTCAAGTCACTTATGTCAAATAACTATTATGCACTATCTTATAATTGGACACAAATCCACCCAGAATATAGTTTCCTCCCCAGTAGTTTGGTGGATCATAATAGAGTGAAAGGTGTGATAATGGGTGAATACTAAAGCTGGTCATAGGTTATTACAGACTTCTACGTTAACTACATCAGGGGGTGATTGCAGACCTTTTAATTCTGTTTTATAACAAGAGATTAATTTCACGTCACTAATGTCAGAGCTTAGAAGAACTAGCCTATAATGGACTGTATTGTTTTGTCAGGGACATTCTCAGATCCACCAGACTGCCTCATTCCTCCAGTGAACCTTCCATCTACAGCAGTCTGGTATAGTGGATATAATTAGTTACAGCAGAGGAGTTAAAGGATGAGCGAATGGTGGGTTAATGGCAGAAAATTAAAGGCTTGATGAGGTTAAAGGCCTCTGTCTTCTCTCCACATCTCAGCTGGAGGAATTTGCTTCCTGGCAGAGTTCCAAAATCCAACCAGTTCAAGACTGTCTGTCTGCTTGCCACTCTTACTCTAGCTGACTAACTGTTGTAAACTGTACATGTCCCCTTTGTTTGTTGTCCGTTGCCTGCCTTGTTTATCTTTCCTGTGCTGTAACTGAATCCATTCTTTACTCTGGGCATTCGTTTTTATCTCACTGCCCTCAATGTGAAGTGCTGATGTTGACCCGATAGCCTAAACTTTGATGGAGTGCTAGCATTGGGGCAATTCCACATTAACAGAGTGATGCTGAGACTAAGAAAAAAAAAGAAAAAAAAAGAAAATGTATGCCAAACAAAAACCAATGATTTGCCAAGTTAAACAAACCACTCTATGCACAAGGACTACTTTTAACGATTTACACTAAATATTTGACAAAAATATTACCTGAAGAACAGTGCAGATGCGAAGTTTGCTAACAGAATGACGGTTTGTGCTGTTTGTGCCGTCCGTCTGTTACCAAACTTTGCATCTGCACTGTTCTTCAAGTAAATGTGTTTTTGTCAAATATTCAGTGTAAATTGTTAAATGTAGTCCTTGTGCATAGAGTTGTATGGTTTGTTAAACTTTGAAATCAATGTTTTTTGTTTGGCATTCCGTTAACGTGGAAAGATTAGAGTCTCAGCATCACTCTGTTACTGTGGAATTTCCCACTGGTTTTGCCTGGGTCTTGGTTTGTCACTACTCCTCAGCACACACCTTATTCTGAGAATAGGTGAATCTACCTGTGAGAAGACTCCTGAACATGGCAAAATATTACAGAATGTTGCCAGAGTTGGTCTAACTGTGTGACTGTTCCTCTGTGTTCCCCAGATGTGCGGCTGCTCCTTCTCCACCTCCAGTCAGAGAAAGTCACAGTTCTACACAGACCCCACAGATGCTGTGAAGGACATCCCCAGTGGAGCCACCATCCTAGTGGGAGGTAAGATCAGGAGACAGTCAATACTTCACTGTGGGCTCTGAAAGGGCTTTTTCCTGGGATGCCTTGCAAATGCAGCTGTAACTGAAGACTGTTTACCCCTGGACACTTACATTTGTACATTTTAGTCATTTAGCAGACGCTCTTATCCAGAGTGACTTACTGGAGCAATTAGGGTTAAGTGCCTTGCTCAAGGACAGATTTTTCACCTAGTCTGCTCAGGGATTCGAACCAGCGACCTTTCGGCCCAACACTCTTAACCGCTAGGCTACCTGCCGCCTGATGTATAAGAATTGGATAGGAGTGTAAGCAAAATGATGGAAATTTCACCTCGCCTATCAGAGGGCAAGGTGGAGCTATTATCTTATTGCTAATACCTACACTATATATACAAAAGTGTGTGGACACCCCTACAAATTAGTGGATTCGGCTATTTCAGCCACACCCGTTGCTGACAGGTGTATAAAATCGAGCACACGGCCATGCAATCTCCATAGACAAACATTGGCAGTAGAATGGTCTTATTGAAGAGCTCAGTGACTTTTAACGTGGCACCGTCATAGGATGTCATCTTTCCAACAAGTCAGTTCGTCAAATTTCTGCCATGCTAGAGCTGCCCCTGTCAACTGTAAGTGCTGTTAATGTGAAGTGGAAATGTCTAGGAGCAACAATGGCTCAGCCGCGAAGTGGTAGGCCACACAAGCTCACAGAATCGGTGTGGAAGAACTTGAATGGCCTGCACAGAGCCCTGACCTCAACCCATCGAACACCTTTGGGATGAATTGGAACGCCGACTGCGAGCCAGGCCTAATCGCCCAACATCAGTGCCCGACCTCACTAATGCTCTTGTGGCTGAATGGAAGCAAGTCCCCGCAGCAATGTTCCAAATCTAATGGAAAGCCTTCCCAGAATAGTGGAGGCTGTTAAAGCATTAAAGGGGGGACCAACTCCATATTAATGTCCATGATTTTGGAATGAGATGTTCGACGAGCAGGTTTCCACATACCTTTGGTCATGTAGTGTATCTCCTACAGGTAGGCTAGGGAGACACTTGTGTTATATATATCCAAGTCTATTTTCTCTGTAAAAACGGTTCCTCTTTCTCAGCGGGGGAAATGTTCACTCACACATTTACTTGTGTCCAGTTCATAGATAATGGACAATGCTCTCCATTTTAGCTGCACTGTCTGAATCATTCTGCATCTTTGCCCCCAACACACACACACACACACACATACACACACATACACACACATACACACTGGGCTGCTACGACAGATTCCATAGCTTATAAGAATAGAATTGGGGTTGTGTTTGTTTCCACTGTGTCTAAAGAAGGCATAACTTCAGAGGGCCTAACTACACAGGGTCACTCTGTCTTTCCAAGGAAAAGAAGTCATCAATAAAAATGACTGTAAACATGAATTTATTATGTTTCTCTCTCTCCAGGGTTTGGTTTGTGTGGCATCCCAGAGAACCTTATCAACAGTTTATTAAAGACTGGCGTGAAGAGCCTCACAGCCGTCAGCAACAATGCTGGGTAATTGTGTGTGTATGCAGTGTGTGTCTCTGTGTGTGTCTGTTTGCGCGTGTTTGCACACACGTGCAGGTGCCTGTGTGTAACTCAAAACCATAGATTGATTTTCCATCTCTACCCTCATTTACTGCTGTTAAGCAAATGCCAGTGTTTCTTAATGCCAGTTAGAATCCGATGTCCGTGGCCCCCCGTAATTCTAATTAGCATAATACAAAAATCCCCATCACAATCCATCTGTTTAAGCTAGAGATGTCTGTTTGCATTGGATGCGTCTCAATCCACTGCATCCTTCCGCTTCTGCGGTGAAAGGTGGCAGAGCTACAGTGGTGTTTGTCAGACCATGAGACATCCTGAAAATCGGTCTTCTCACGAAAACGTCTGTAGCGCCCGATCGGTTTGGCCTACAAAATATTATTATCTGTTATGCTCTACGACTCCCACAAGCATCACGGGACTCATCTGAAGTCGGTACTGCAGATCTGCCAACTTCTGTCTGTAGTGTCCGAACAGTTTGGGCTACACACTAATATGACCCTTCTATGGAAAGGTGAGTCTCTCTCGAACATGTACATGTTGCTCTAGGACGAACGCAAGCCTCACAAGACTCGTCTGAAAGGTACCCCGGTACAAGTTAAAAAAAATTAATGGAAATATATATGAAAGTAGTTTAGTGCCTAAAATAAAGGGTTAAATAGGTGTAAAAAAGGTGTCCTGATCTTTCTTATATCTCTCAGATATAGGACAGACACTTCCCAACAAACTTCCTTTAGATACATTTTTTTGACTATCTGTTGTTCCATTTAGTGAATCTGTTATTCAATACGTTTCAATGGGCTAATAGCAGTAAAGCCAAATTCAATGTTACATCAAATCATTTTGTAATATTTTTTTTTTATTCCTTAAGGGGTCTTAAAATAAAAAATCTAATAGCTACAGTGCATTTGGAAAGTATTCAGACCCCTTGACTTTTTCCACATTTTGTTACGTTACATCCTTATTCTAAAGCAAAACCAGGTTTTTTAGAAATGTTAGCTAATTTATTACAAATAAAAACCGGAAATATTACATTTACATAAGTATTCAGACCCTTTACTCAGTACTTTGTTGAAGTGCCTTTGGCAGCGATTACAGCCTCGAGTCTTCTTGGGTATGACGCTACAAGCTTGGCACACCGTATTTGGGGAGTTTCTCCCATTCTTTGCTGCAGATCCTCTCAAGCTCTGTCAGGTTGGACGGGGAGCGTTTCTGCACAGCTATTTTCACGTCTCTCCAGAGATGTTCGATCGGGTTCAAGTCCGGGCTCTGGTTGGGCCACTCAAGGACATTCAGAGACTTGTCCCGAAGCCACTCCTGCGTTGTCTTGGCTGTGTGCTTAGGGTCGTTGTCCTGATGGAATGTGAACCTTCGCCCCAGTCTGAGGTCCTGAGCGCTCTGGAGCAGGTTTTCATCAAGGATCGCTCTGTACTTTGCTCCGTTCATCTTTCCCTCGATCCTGACTAGTCTCCCAGTCCCTGCCGCTGAAAAACATCCCCACAGCATGATGCTGCCACCACCATGCTTCACCGTAGGGATGGTGCCAGGTTTCCTCCAGACGTGACGCTTGGCATTCAGGTCAAAGAGTTCAATCGTGGTTTCATCAGACCAGAGAATCTTGTTTCTCATGGTCTGAGAGACTTTAGGTGCCTTTTGGCAAACTCCAAGCTGGCTGTCGTTCCTTTTAATGAGGAGTGGCTTCCGTCTGGCCGCTCTACCATAAAGGCCTGATTGGTGGAGTGCTGCACTCTGGAGCTCTATCAGAGTGACCATCGGGTTATTGGTCACCTCCCTGACCAAGGGCCTTCTCCCCTGATTGCTCATTTGGCCAGGCGGCCAGTTTTAGGAAGAGTCTTGGTGGTTCCACACTTGTTCCATTTAAGAATGATCAGGGCCACTGTGTTCCTGGGGACCTTCAATGCTGCAGAACCTTTTTGGTACCATTCCCCAGATCTGTGTCTCGACACAATCCTGTCTTGGAGCTCTACGGACAATTCCGTCAATCTCATGGCTTGTTTTTTGCTCTGACATGCACTGTCAACTGTGGGACATTATATAGACAGGTGTGTGCCTTTCCAAATCATGTCCAATCAATAGAATTTACCACAGGTGGAGTACAATCATGTTGTAGAAACGTCTCAAGGATGATCAATGGAAATAGGATGCACCTGAGCTCAATTTCGAGTCTCATAGCAAAGGGTCTGAATACTTATGTAAATAAGGTATTTCTGTTTTTAATTTTTAATAGATTTGCAAAAATGTCTAAAAACCTGTTTTCACTTTGTCATTATGGGGTATTGATGAGGAAAAACATTTATTTAATCAATTTTAGAACAAGGCTGGAACGTAACAGAATGTGGAAAAAGTGAAGGGGTCTTAATACTTTCCGAAGGCACTGTAAATTATCCTTGGTATGACCATCTTAAAATAATTCTGTATGTTAACTTCATATTCATCATCTCCAGCACCACCCCAACATCAACATACAGTATGTGAAAATGGTGCGTTTCTATGTTTTGTAGTAAAAAAGATAGATGAAGATATGTGTTTTCAATGTCATCAGCGATAGCTGGACTCATAGGATAATGGGTACTGCACCAGTGACCAGAGGGAGAGACTGACAACTGTGCTGAGTGGTTGGCTAGTTTAAGCCAAGCTGTCAGTGAGGATGAACTTATCCTGCTAGATGTGTGGTGAACTGTAGGACCAACGCTCTAAGGATGGTGCACAGACTGGAACAAAGTGTCTGTCTTCAGAAAGCAGAGAAATGTAAACGCAACCTGTTACAGTACATACTTAATTAATGTTAGCCCTACGAAATAAAACTGCACATGTCAATGTTTGAGGTATTTGTCCAGTGAATCCTGTTAACCATGGGACTGGCAACCTGTAATGGAAAGTTGTGGGACAGACTGTGAATCTAATAATAGCGGTGTTCACTGTGTTAATTTATAAAGAGATTCATTTAGCACATCCCAGACATGCCACAGGAGCTGGATAAAATAATATAACAACAAAAATAAAGTGAATGTCCAAGAAAGAATATTCAAATTAAAAGAAAGTGAACTCCCAGTGTGTCCTTTGGCCATAAAGTGATTTCATTTGGTTTGCTTGAGGCCGTTGTCTGATTTCATTGGCTTGTATTCGGTATCATTTCCTGGTCATACTAGGCTATGAAGAGGACATGATGTCAGGTTTAATTTTAGAGTGCAGACATCCACTGAATGTTCCCTTACAGCTCTTTCTTTGCATCTCTCCATCTATGCCTAATCTCTTGGACAGAAACCTGAAGAACCAGTAATTTTAGAGTTAAAATCCTTCAGATCTTTTTTTTTTTTTTTTTTAAGGTCAGGGTACAGGCCTTTACTCGACCCAGATTAGACATTTGACATTTCTACTAGTCAGACAATCGTTAGTAATCTGAGAGGGAAT